TTGGTGTGCCTCTGGGCGGGGGCGGGTGTGTGTGTGTGTGTGTATATCTGGGCCGGGTGTTTTACTTTATTTTTTTACCCCATCTTGTTGTGCTGTGGATTTTGGGTTTAGCCAAAAAAATACCTCCAAGGCCCTTATCAGACGACACAGCGGGTAACGTACTTTCCCGCAGAGTCCAGAGCTCGAACGGCAGAAATGGACCCCCGTGAAACCCCCCCTCTGGCATCCCGTTATCTGGCAGGGTCTGCACGCATGGGCGATGTAAAGCTTGTATGTCTAAAAAGAGCCCAGGCAGATCTTGCCCACCCTCGGTTTGCATCAGTTACACGTATTTTTAGAGATGGAAACTGGATGTTTCTGGTGGCCGCGTATGGCGGGGAGACCCCAGACTGCCCGGGAAAACTTTCTGTGGGTGGTGGGAGCGGCGGGAGGGACACAGTGCAGCCCAGGGAGCCTTTTTGGAGGGTGCCTGGGGCAGACATCCCCCCTGGGGAGTCTGCACTGGTATTTATTTCTCCTTTGCCAGTTTACACGGATAGGAGAAGCATCCTGGACCCAACAAATTCAAGCGGCTGAGCGCAGAGCCCCGAACTCTTTAAAAAGCTAGGGCTTGAGGATTATTATGGCAGAAAATGTTAGGATAGAGAGGATGGCTAGGAACAAATCCTGGGTCCTTGGCTTGGGTCCTTCCTAAAACATACCTTTCTCTACCTAAATTCCTATACCCGCCTGCCTGCAGGTAGAAAGCTGCTGCCAACCTGCTGAGGTTTCTCAGGCATTTCTGGGGCAGTAAAGCCCACCCCTGCCTATCTGTGGCCAGCGTGGCCCCTTCCCCTCCCCTGGAGGGGACTGCCAGGAGCAGCGGATGGGCCCCGGGCTGCTCAGCTCCTGGAGCACAGGGTGGGAGCCTGTCCCCTCACACAGTACCCCTTGCCGCCCCGCTGGCACCAGCCTCTCTGTGGGAAGCACAGCCAAGGTTTCTCCCCGCACACACCCCATCCCAGCTCTTTGCTGCCTCTCCCCGCGCACATGCACACAGGGTGCCTGGCCCCGGCAGGCCGTGACTTACCAGGTTGACTGGGTGGATGTAGCCGTTTTCGTACTTGTCATTGGCCAGGATCTGCCTCAGGTGAGCAATGTAGCTGGAGGCCAACCTCAAGGTGTCCAGTTTGGAAAGCTTGGTGTCTGGGGGCACCCAGGGCAGGGTGGTCTTAAGCCTGGAGAAGGCTTTGCTAAGGACCCTCATCCTCGCCCTCTCCCTGGCGTTGGCAGCGTTTCTCTGGACCTGCTTTCCCTCCTGGCTCACTCCATTTAAAGGGCTCTTCTTGGGGGGAGCTTTTTTCCTCTTGCCCAAGGCCCCTCTCCCCTTCTGAGGGGAGCCATTCTCGCCATTGGATCCCTCCTCGTTGCTCTCGGTGGACGCCCCAAACTCTTTGTTAGTATCCATTTTCAGGCCATCGCACTCCAGCATTTCCACCTCCTGCAGATCTTCCACATCACTGAGGGACCCAGTGGACATGGTCTGGAAGATGCCGAAGGACCAGCAGGAAAGGGGGAGGGGGGAAGGAAGGGCCGCTCCTCAAATCTACTTCAAGGCGGCGGAGGAGAGAAGGGGTGCCAGTATTTTCCTCCCCTTCCCTCCCCTCCCTCCAGCACTAAGGCGCGATACCAGTCCAGAGAGGACCCCTGCCCTCCCGCCCCCCAACCCCGCTTTGCCCGTGTTGGAGGGAGGGAGTGAGCGTGTGTGAGAGAGGGAGAGAGAGAGAGAGAGAAAGCTGAGGAATTTAGTGAGGACACTAGTAATTTATCTGGGGGATAAGAGAGGCGGATCCAGCCCAGGGGAGGGGCCCTGCCCGCTGAGCACACCACATCCCCAATCACAGACCTTTGCACAGGACTGGGAACGAGGTATCCCGGCAAGCCTTTGCCGAGAGCTCGGAACTGGGATTCAAATCTTCACAACTGGAGCAAAGCAACTTGCGCTCTCTCTCTCTCTCTCTCCCCCCTCTGCCTTTCTATCCTCCCCCTTCCTCCTCCTCCTCCTCCTCCTCCTCCTCTTCTCCTTCCCCACTTCCCTTTCCAGCCCAGGGTTGCTCTCCCCCTCCCTGCCTCCTAGATGACCCAGGCAGCTGGTGTCATGATTCTTGATGAAAGCCAAAATGGGTCATGAGCAGAGAGGGAGCAGCAGATCCACCAGCCAAGCCTTCCAGGGAGCTTTGTAATGCATGCTGTCGAAACGCTGTCCTGTAACCTAATCTGGGGGAGATTTGTGGATGATTATATTTGCGAATGCATCCTGTCCAGCTACTAGTGTATTCCAGGAAGGGAGCGCTCCGCCGCCTGGCCAGCAGCGTGGACCTTGCCGTCACAGCCTGGGGGCTGGAGGCAGGAGGATCTGACTCCTTCCAGCCTTCCTGGGTGACCTCTGGACAAGTCCCGGTCCCCTCTCACTCCTTGAGTCCCCCCAGCTGTAAGCATCCCAGAGGCTGCCCTGTCTGCAGGTGTGCTGGGTGGCTGAGACCCCAGCGGTCCGCGGAGCCCTGCCGAGCCGAAGGGAGAGCACCGTGCTGCTGGGGAGGGTCAGTGTGACTGCAGATGGGGCACTGACCTGAAGGAAAAAGGGGGCATCATTGGATGATAGAGATCACACAGAAAAAACCCCCTTTTCTCAGTGTGTTGTTGCAGAGCAGATGTCAGTGTTTCGTTCTGCTGTACCCATGGAACGCTTTGCCCGCTGATTCGTACACGCTGAAAAGTCAGGGAGTTTTGCCTGAATAAGGAGCAAGATAAGGCCCCTTCTGTGGACACGGTGGGAGCGAGGGCATCAGGCAGTGCTCTGAAGCCAAACGTTCCCCATCGTTTTACCGCTAGTGTGAATGAGCGGGTTGCTGTGTGGTTCCAATGAGCAGACGTACGCTGCAAGTACAATCTTTCTGCACATGTGTATTCAGTCTCTGCAGGGCAGGCTTTTACAAGCAGTTAACCTTGGCCTAGGTCTTCTTCCTCTCCATATAAAATCTGCTCCTAAACCCACACGTGGAGCCCAAAGAGGGCTGTGAAGCATGAACTTGCTCCCGTAGCGCTTTCCCTCCTCACATGCTTCCTGAAATCCCACAGGTCCCCCAGCAGCCTGGGTTTTGAACATGGGGGACTAAAGGACTGGGCACGATCGGCACATGGGACCTTTCCAGACACAGTGACTGATCTCTCCACTTACTCAGCAGCTCACCTGAGGATTCACACAGCTCTGGACAAAAATGTACAGCCTGAGATGTCACCATGGCACGCGGTGGCTTCGGAGTTAGTCCAAGGTCACCAGGGCCACAGGAAAGTCTCTTGCTGATCTGTGTGAGCATCACGTCGGGTTCTCTGCATGCACTAAACAAAAAACAACGAACCAACAAACCAAAAATTGTAGAGGGCCAAACTGGTATGTTGGCCAAGCCCTTTGTGCTGTCTGCAGATTAAAGTTTCAGTAGGTGGCAGAGTGTCATTTTTGATACCTAGCAAGGAAGTCTTTCCTATCTCTTGATCCATCTTGATTCCTTCGCTCACGTAAGACAGAAGGGCAGATCTAAACTTTAAACCCGCTCTTTACCATTTGGCTGGAAGATAACACCTTCCCACTCACAATAGGATAAGTACATTAAGGTGTCGTATCTCCAAGCCTTGGGCTCTTGGGAATTCACTAACCTCTAACGTCATGTTATGTTAACTGTGCCCTGTTTGTGTTTTCTCTGTGTATAAGCTAAACAGAGTGTCAGCATATCAGTCCTAATTAATGAATTAGCTTTGCTTTTTTTTTTTTTTTTCTTTTTTCTTCAAAACATCCTTGTTGCAGATCCAAAATATTGCTAATCACCAGTGTGGAGATTTATGAACCTCCTTATTTGCTAGGCTTGATTGTTGTTTGTGCAGGTGGAGATCTAAATGGCTGTATCCACTGCGGAGATTTATAGTCCACGTGACTGATGCTAGAAATGAGCTACAAGACTCCTACTGGAGCAAGGATGACAGAAAACCAAGTTGAAGTTGCTTGTGTCTCTAAGCATGAATGACCAGAGAGCATGAATGACCAGAAAGCACAAAATCCCATCAAAATTTCAGCATCAGAAGAACAAAACAACAGGAAAAGTATATACTCACATCCTTTCTATCACTTATTTTTAACTTTACTTTAGTAATTTCTAAAAATTTGTTGTAAAAAGCAGGAGGAATGATCTAGTTTCTTAAAAATGCCTTTAGTATGCTGCTATGTGTGTGTTCTGAAAATCAAGGTATGCATACACATGCGTTATGAGCCTTTAGAACTGCCACACATTTGTACCTTTTACTGATTTACATACATTTTTGAGTCCTCGGAGCCAGTAAAATTGATCTAATACAGACCACACACTTTTGTGGAGACACAGGACACATTTTTTGTATCCATTTTGTGGCGATTATTGTGTGTGTGTGTGATATATACTCACATACGTGTAGTATAATGTACTTTGAGTCCTTTATGCATACAGACTATCACACACTCTTTTAACAACATAATCGTCCCTTTTTCCCTCTCCAAAGGGGCCAACATGGACAGACCTAAAACACTATATCCTCTCATCTTTGGGTAACTCACAGAATCACAGAACTCCTGGTTCCTTAGTTGTTTGTGACATGAGTTGAACCTCTCCTTTTCCAGCCTTCCTGCTCCTGATGTCCCTCCCGGAAAGCCCAGGGCTTGTACCACTAATCTGGCTCCCAGTTTCAATCCCTCGCCTGAATTGCCTTGCCCAGTCCTCCTGATTCTTGTTCTGAATTGCAATCCCAGGTTGGGGTAAAGACCAACAGGGTGGAGAGCAACCTGATCCGGTGGGAAGGGTGAAGCTGGGATGGCTGCAGCCACCGCGGTGGTGGTGTGGCCACTTACTTCTCCAGTTAAATGACTGGGACCACAGACCAGACACTGGGTTAATAACTGGCTGGGGAAGACAGGTGGAGCTAAAGTCCTTTAGGCCTTTCTAGTACATTCACTCCTTCATTCGTGTTTTAAAAAGGAAGTTGAAATACTGGCATGGGGAACATCAGTACATATCTGTGAATTTGCCCTGTAGATGACTTTGTCCTCTGTATCGCTCTGGCTACGCAGGAAAGTGCATCTCTCTTGTGCTTCTAATTGAGACCCACTAAACCGTAAGGTCATTTGGGATGTGCCAGGGGTGCTGGGGGTAGAGATTTGGGATGCCTGGTCTGAAGGGTGTCAGATGGGGGATATGTCATGCATAGACTTATGCTGGTCTATGGCAGGTTACAGATTTCCCCCTGGAAAAAAAAGCCCCACTTTTTATGCCTCCAACCTTCCCTCCCCTGGGCTGGAATAACATGGTAATTTGAGAACAGCTTTGGAACTTGAGGCCAAGATTTCTGCAAGTGTCTCATGATTTTGCGTGGCATGGCTTGGTTTTTTTTGGTTTTTTTTTTTTTTTGATGTTCTGTGTCATTTATCAAGGCACCATATTTTTACTGTGCATTGAACAGTCACCCAAGAAAAACCTCAGATCACCCACAGCTGAGGAAAACATAGTCGGTAGCTGGTTTTAAAACTCTTTGCCCAAGTATAATACAGATGTTTTCCTATATTTGGAGAATAACCAAAGAAGTCACGCACAGGCAGCCAGCTGATCATGAACTGTGTACAGTCAGGTTTGAGAATAATCAGGAATGAAAGTACAACAAGATTAGTGTTTTCAAGTTGCAATTTTTTATTTTTTTAAAATCTTTAAAATCTGGTTGCACTGAGATTTCTCCTGCTCACTTCTGGTCTCACCTGGAAACTAAGTAAAATGGTGGAGAGACTTCAGAAGCATACTTTTACATACCTGAAGTGAAATAATACTAATAATCTACTATTACATACGAATCATGCTAATAATAACTAACACTAATAATATAATACTAATACTACCAATAATATAATAAACCTGTGTTATTTTTCTGATAGGATTCTGTCTTATCCATTGTAGAGGATGGACAGTGCTGGGGGAAAAGGATCAAAGTTGTTTGTAACAGTGGGGTAGCTTTTTGGAAGGGCCAGGGCACTGAAACCTTCCCACAGCTCCTTTCCAGTGCTGTGTATCTGTTTCTGGTCACGGTTTTGGTTTGAAAGGTAAAAGACATCGTGATAAATAACATAAAGCACCACACAAAGAGAAAAATGTCACTGCCAAGAGGGTAAAAAGGCTGTCTTGGAGAACTGGCCCAAGAGGCCGGTATCTGTATGCGATACCAGCGTCACTACTCCTCCCCAGGAAATCCCGGTGTCTTGCTTCAAAGCCCTGAGAAATCAGAGCTTTTTGAGAAACTTTTCTAGAATAGTTTATTGTGGGGAAAAAAACCAACAATATTTCCTTCTGTTCTCATTTAGAAATATCTGAGAGTTGTGCTCAGACCTAGAATGGAAAAATTTCAGTCTTACTGGTTACAGATTAGAAAATTTAAAAGCAAATAAACTGCACTTTCAAAAAAATTTATGTAGAA